ATGTAGGTTATTTTTTCCTCTGACGTATGTGTTCAGCTCTGCAACACTACCAAAAAGCCTGCAGACTGCTTTCTTAGATGTAGTATATTATCATCCTGTAAAGGTACAGCAATCCAGAAGCTACAGAAATCTGACACAAAATGTGTGGCGTAAAGGCTGACTAGCTGTTAAGTAGTAGGAATTTTGTAGTGAACCCCTAAATAATATCTGCAAGAATACAGGTGGGGCAGAAAAACAAGTATTTGACAGAAATACTAGTGATTAAGAGTACTCTTTAAAGTTGTGTCCACCAAAATCTTTACGTCGAATCCAGAACTGTTAGAAAACAGAAGGCAAAGAAAGGCGGCTGCTCAACTTCCTGCAGTAAGCATGATGGAGCAAGCGTGACAGTGATTACTTATGAGCTTACTGCTCAACTACCCGGAGTATGATAGTGCTTACATTATCTAAGGACACTTTTGTGATGTATACTACTACAGGTTTTGACCCTCTTGAACAAGACTTGTCATCCTAAAGTATGCCAGTTAGCTATCACCTCCCTGGCTTCATTTTTAGCACTGTATGAGATTTTTGGATTCCCAGCATTAGAGTTCCACAAACAGCTTACCAAAGACCTTCCAACTCTGAACTTCCCAAAACAGCCTGAAGTACACTTCAGATGTGGCAACAGAACCCCCCTGCAGCACAGATTCATCAACTACCTGAAAAATGACCATGCTTGCAAAAACAGAAAGCAAAAAGAATTCATAGTTCTCTTACTCTTCTTCCTTGGAGAGGCGTATAGCAAGCTCTGCATACAAGAGTCAACAAACGCGATGTCTGACTATAGCCATCCTTGCCAGTGACTTTTACTGAAAACTGAGCAGCTGTATGCATGTTCTTGATCTGCTGCAGTAGTGGAGTGTTCCATAAACCTGACCAGCTAACACCTATCTGCAGGACCACTGCTACAAATCACTCTGCCCTCTGCAGATACAGAAGGTAAGGATGCCCAATATGCACTGTGCTGTGGGCATGGCCACTGCTGGCGTTCCTCATTTAGTGTTTTGGGGTGGTTTGTGGGGGTTTTTTGGTTGTTTGGCTTGGGTTCTTTTAAGACGACCTGCAAGCGCTAAATGTTAATTTAACTAACTGGGAACCTAATCCACTGACTATTCCAGGTCTGAGGCCGTCAACTATCATTTAAGAAATCTGACCCAATTTCACAAACTGTTTCAGCTGAGACAAGGCAGTTCTAACTTTTTGTAAACTACACTTTGAAACTGGAAAGGCCCTGAAAAAGGGTTAGACTAGAAGCAGCCTTTTCTGTACTATCTAGCACTGGTAAAACTGAGGGCCTGATTTTTCCCCAACAGCCTGCTCTCTTCTCTCTCTCACCCCAAGACAGTCCTCCAAGATCCCTTTTTGTAAGTTGCAAGAATTTCAGTTTACCCAGCCCTCTATCCCAGTAGCCAGTTTTGCGTTCTGATCGTATGACTGGAAAAATAAATTTGTGCATAGAAACTGTACAAATCAACTAAACTGGGCTATATTCCTTTAGTTTTTAATGCAAGTACTTAAAATAAACTTATTTGGAGAAGAAAAAGCCTTTTGCCCCACCCACATTTTTTTTTTTAAATAACAAAATATTTTTAAAGACACCATTGTTACATCTCTGCCAACAAACCTAAGCAACTGGTTACCCAGTGCTTTAAGGAAACAGACTGTATAAGCAAGAATAGAAATTATTTAAGTGGTTCTAAAAACACAGCTAAATAAATTGACTGGAGATTTCTCCTGTTAATTTAACCTCACTTTTCTAGGTAGCTCCTTGGTATCAAAAATGCCTATACACCCCAGCATACCAAGCCACTGCCCTCTTTTGCTGCAACACTTTCAAAAGTATTCCTGATGGAAGCTCAGAAGCTTTTCAGATATTGATAGACAAGAACTAATCCCACCTTCTCTATCACACAGGTAGAATGTAACTAGCAGCCAGAGAAGAGGCTAACTTGTCTGTGTGCAAGATGCCGAGTACACAGCTTTAATCTCCTCAACATGGCATTCTAAACAGAGCAAAAAAGTAAGTTGCAAGCAAGTACAGCAGGATAAAACTAGTTTCAGGACTAAAACTTAGGACTACTTTAGTTCAATGGAATTCACCACAGACACAATACCAGTCAGAACACATGTACCCCTTTAAAGAAATCAGAGCTGAAGTGTCTATGCACTATCACTGTCGCCAAAAGCTCACTACTTTGTCAAAAAAAACCCCAAAACAGAAAACCAACACAAACACCTAAGGGACTCCTTACATTTCCAAAGGAAAAACTAATCTTGTTGAGGCACCACATGCAGAAGTTAATCCATATGTTTATCTATGGATCACTGTATTGAAGATGCTAAAGCTTCTCCTGTACAAGTGATCTACTAACATGGAGCACTCAGAGCAGCTTGGCTGAGCTTTGGAAGGAAACGTGTGTGCAGCTGCCTAAAAGGCCTAGCAGCTGGTTCACAGACATCTCACAAGATTGTTCTTATTTGATGCACAATACCTAGGAACCTGCCTAAGGACATCCACAGGACATGTTTGTTCTGCATTTAACAATGTAATTTTATTTATTTCATTTAACAGAGTTAATTTATTCCTTTGCACTGAAAAAAATCTGCCTCTCTAGATGCCTTAGTGCATCCCAGCCTGCAGAGCAGCAGAGTTTTCATTACACTTCCCACTTGGAGCAAGCTCACAGAAGAGCTCTGCAACAAAGATCTGTTGAGAAGCACCAGATCAGCACAAGCTCTTCAGTATGAACTTTATCAGAGAAGGCAGACCAGAGGAAATTTTCTTCTAACAAAAGCAATAGCTGCTGACAATGAGCTGCAGGCTTAGACTTCCTCAGCTATATGGTTTTTCTACCTCTCCTCTTACCAACACCTTCAAGAGAAAAAATAAGCAGAACATCTTTGCTCCTACTCCTCCAACTGGAAACAACCTAAATACCTGAGCACACAACAATGGCCGGCAAACCAGCAGAAACGGGAAACACGAGGAAGATTGGAATGCGTATTTCATACCCTAAGAACAGCTACTACTGCTGGTTGCTCAAGGGAGAAATAAACTGGTAAACAAAATATTAACTAACAGGCTTGACCTGCTGCCTTACAGGAAGAATCACTGATGTTCGGTTCTAGGCTTTTCTGGGTAAGTGGAAGGGTCAATGACCGATAACTGAATTAACAGCAACAACAATATATTTTGTCAAGCTGCTCATCAACAGCTTACGAGGTTGTCTTCAGCGGTTATAAACTTTTCCTGGTGTTCAAAGCAGAATCCTGAATATCTGGGAAAATAGTATTAACCAAGATGGTGTGGACATTGAGATCAGTAGCATTTCAACATAACTGCATATTCCATCCTTGTGGGTAAGTTGTGTGCTGGCTCCGGTATTTGCATGTTGCAGAGCAGAAGTCACTCTGCAAGATTTGGATGAAAATAAAGCTCACTGCAATGGTTCTTCCAAGCTGCTACAATCTCATGGATGCACGATACTGAGAGTAGGAAGAATTCCTCTCCTGTGATCTCAGTGTTGCCACTGCCAGCTCAGAGAAGAACAAAAAGGAGGAAAGAGCTTGCCCAGAACAATGGGGGGAAAAAAATCTGTAACTGCAATTGATTTTGACTGAAAACGCAGAAGGAGGAGTTCAAGATCTCTGGTCTTGATAAAACAGGCAAGAACTTAAAACAAGGTGTTCTTACCCTTTTTGGTGTTTGTTCTATAGGCAGAACCAGCAAAAAGTTACAGACCTCACTGGTTCAATGTACTGAATTTTAAAACCTGATTACTTAAAAGTAGGGTTCAATGTGGCACCTTAGAACAAGCTTTAAAGAACTCTTTCAGGAAGTAGTCTGCATCCAGGAACTGGTTAAAAACTGAGCATGAGAAACATCAAATTCCTGCCTGGGCAACACGTATTCAGTTCTCCTGAGTACATGCATTACGATACTATCTTCAATTATGCACTTGAACTATTTTTAATCACAGGACTTTTAGCCTGTGCAGTGCTTCACTTCCCCTTTTTTCTGCAGAAGTCAAAGCAGCACAGCAGGGAATTTAAAAAGAGAAAAGACCATCCATTGCTAAGACAGCTGAATGCTCTCCAGAATTAGATTTCCTTTCCTATCACAAAAATAACGCTTACTCCACATCCCCTCTTAAATTCAAGTTGGGTACGCATTTCCTGCATGCCAAATTTGAAATGTCTGAAGGGACATAAGAATAACATCATGTAAACAGGCACTGATGCAAAGGATACTCACTCCTCGAAATTAAAATGGAAACACAACCACCTCTCACTGAGGCTGCTGTGAAGGTTTAAAGAGAGAAGCAATTGTGAATCCTACATTTACACAAGCTCTGCAAAATTCAACAGGAAAAGTAATGAGCAAGACTGAATGCTCCCTGGTGCTAAGGAAGGAAAAAGTGAAGCTGTATTTGAAGCAAAGAGGGCATAACTAAAGCTTGGTCTGCTCTTTTGTTCTTTTTTTTTGCATTTAATATAATTTGGCAGATTATAATCACAAATACATTTTGAAGTTGTGTTTTAGATTCATAAATGTCACTGATAAGAGACTGATATTTCTGTTTCATGAAGAGTGTGGCCCATTGTGCATTTCAACAGTTATCTCCACATCCCACATGTGCTAAAGCCAACCCACTCAGGTTTCTTTTTCCTGTAACAACCTTGCCATCTGCTTCATTTCCAAGAGACCTGCCACCCGAGCACATCCACCAAGTCCTGCTACACTTCCTATCATCAGCAACTCCATGTGACCATGCAGATTGGAGAAGCCAGAGTTAAGAGATCCTCTTATTTCTGTTTAAGGTCTTTCAAGAGAAACAGCGCTGATGACTTTGTGTGATCAAAACCGTTTATCAAATAGAGGTATGCCAAGCAAAGGGTATCAGGAATTAAACAAACACTTCATATCTGATAAATCCTTACAAAATACCTCTACTCACCAGTTACATTTCTTCTGTAGGTGCTGTCAGAACTGGCATGCTATTCAGTTCCACGATCAAGAATGACTGAACATGGAATGCTCCTATAGCCTAGTAAGCTCTTTCCAACTTCTCTGCTCCTTTCAAAGTACTGCATGAATGTACAATCAGGAAAAGAAAGGTCTTGACACTTCTGGCTGAGGAAACGTGCAAGATGAGCAGGTGCCATGAAGGATTCAACATGTCCAAGCATTTCACGTTTGATTTGCAAATCTGTTCTTCAGCTTTTGCTATTTGTTTAGAATCAACACATCCTGCCCTCCACAAAAAAAGATTACTAAAATCCAGTGGGTTTATAATAGGATCAACTACAAGTGTCCCTTGGCTTAATGGCAATTCTCTCTTAATTAATGCCTTCTAAGTATCATCACGTTTAATAGATAAATGATCCAAACTCATGATATGCCAGTTTTGTTGTTATTTTCAAGATAAAATTTTATTATTTTACAGAGACCTACGTGGACACATTTCTTAACAGCATTCTTAGACTTTGAAGTGTGCTGTGAGTTCTTTGCTTTTTCATGGTGGGGAAAAAAATCCCAACGTACTTGGGTTTAGTTACAGAAGAAAAAAAAGTGTTAAAAATATTTTATCTCTTTATACTTCCAGCATCCCTAAAATAGCATCCAGTTTTCTTTTGAAGCGCAAGTCATCTTTATTTTCAGATTGATTTCAGTTGTAAGAACCTATGCCATGCTCCTCTTGGACATGGACGAATTTAAATTTAACCTTTACCTTCAGTGCTTGGAATCTCTCCATGGTAATGGCAGATTTTCTCATCTCCTCCCTCCTCCCATCCCAGCCCTTCGATCTTACTGAAGAAAATTAGAAAGAAAGTTGTCTTACCGATAACTCCAAGGTTAATGTCCCTTGCGAACCCCACCTAGCAAGTCGACATCATGACATGTCAGGTCAGCCTCAACCACGCTTCCCTGATAGTCAGGTAAAAGGAAGGAGTTAAAATACAAAATTGACACTTGCAGATTTCTGGACATCAGAAAATGTGATGCAATGTATTTTGAACTGTCTTTCAGAGCTTCTGGTAACCTCCAAGTTGTTAAAACATTTCTTCAGAGGGATTCTCCTGTTCTAAAATTTCAAAAATTCCTCATCAATAACCAAATACTGTAGATCCACCTTGACCATTTTGTTTGAATGAGAACAAAAGCTTAAGATTTCCCTTTAACACAAACGATTCCCCCCCTACACATTTTGTCAACTAATATATGATCAGCTTAGCCACTCTAGGTTCCAAAAGACATTTTAAGCCAATAGTCTACAACAGCTTCATTCAAATTCTAAGTTAACAGAAGCTCTAACTTTTTTTTTTCTTTTTTTTTTTCTGTAGAAAAAACAGGAAACACAACTTGGTACACTC